TGGGAGTGGTTGGATGGAGAAGGGTTGGATGCTCCGTCCCGGCCAGGTTGGACACAGGGGCTTGGAGTGACCTGCTCTAGTGGAACTGGAGGAGCTTTAAGGTCCTTTCCAGCCCATTCCATGATTCTATGGGAAGTTCTCCAGCTCCCTCATGGAGGGGCAGCAGAACATCTCCCTCCTGGCACAGGAGCGCCCGGGCAGCTTGGGGCTGGGCACAACTCGTCCTCTCTAACCCAGAGGAACCTACTGCAGCAGAGCTTTGGTTTTCCGCGTGGGATCATCGGGCCGGAAGTTCTTGAACTCCTCCACCTCCTTCTCCAGGGACAGGAGCTGGCTCTGGAGCTTGCTGCGCAGCGACGGCAGCGTCTCCCGGATGTGGTTGGTCAGTTGCTGCAGGAGAACGGACGTCACCGAGACACCGAAACGTGCCAGCGGGTGCCGCAGATGTCCCTACCCCACCTCAGCACCACGGAGCAGGGGAAGGAACCAAACCCACCTGGTTGAGGACCTTCTGGAGGTGGGGGGTGCCCATGCGGTCGGCCATGTGCCGGTAAGCGGGGTGGGAGAGGAAGAACTTGCGCTCGGCCGCCAGCGCGGCCCTGATGTCCTTCTTGCCATCGATGTCCTTCTGGCTCCGGTTCACGACACCGATGTAGCCTGGGACAGGCAAAGGTTGGTTCCAGAAGCAGCCAAAGGTGCCCAAGCTGCCCTTTGGAAGCAGTTTTGGTGTTCCCAATGTAAGAGCGAGGCCACAAGGATGAGCAGCTCCCACAGGAGATGTTGGGGCTGGAGGGGAGAAGCTGGGGGAGAGCTCAGAGCAGCTTCCAGGGGCTGCAGGGATGTGGAGAGGGACCTTCAGCGGTGATGGGACAAGGGGTGATGGGTTCCAACTGCAATAGGGGGAGTTCAGGTTGGAGATAAGGAAAAGTTCTCCCTGGGAGGGTGCTGGGACACTGAGATGGGGTGAATGGAGGTTTAGGTGCTCCATCCCTGGCAGTGTGCAAGGCCAGGTTGGACA